ATTTCAGTTTTTAAGCAAAAGTTAGAGTAAATGTATTTTTTTTTTCATTTAAAAGGTAGAGAGAGAGAGAAAAAAAAAACCCATTTATCATCCTTTTCCTAAAAAAGGAACAATAATATAATTTGTCGCAAGAATAAGCATTATAAACAAAACTGGTGGACAATTCTTTAAAAAGACTAATAATATATTTACAAGGTCAAAAAGAACATTCTTCAGTTTATTCTTTTTAACCCTTATCATTTCAGCTTAATTGAAATCCCAGACAGGGCGGGTCCTAACAGTGAAGGTTCCCAACAAATATAGATGGCAAATGTTTAGTCGGTTACTAATGGTTACGAAATCTATGCCAAGGGGTTAGGTTACTTGTGCATATTTCTTCTAACAGTAGATAAAATCTTTATATATTAGATGTGTTTCAAAATCACACAAGAACAATTTTCATTCATATTCTCTTCGTACTTTGTCTTTTGTATAGATCATTGATTGTGCTGATGAATTTTTTACGGTTTTATAGTGATAGATTGAACTCGTGTCAATACCCGCAGTATTCGATTTTTGCCATATGAATGGCCCAGATAGCTGCTAGGTAAATGTGCATAATAAACATAAATTTAGCACTTTCAGTATGACTTTTCTGTTCAGTTTATGCAACAACAGTACATTCATTGGTTATATGTTATACAACCAAGTCAAAATAGTGCTTAACTGGAAGTTAGTAATATTTTTCATGATGAATATCATTAAAGCAAATGCTAGATGATGAATAAACGCTTTAAAATACTTATATATTAAAAGTGATCACAGAAGGTTTGGTATATGAAATTTTACAGAAATGATTAATTGATTTAAAGAAAAATAATTTAATTCACATTAAGGAAAACAGACGAATCGATATGAAATAAGAATAATTTTCAGCTAATGTGAAACAAACAAGCAGTCATGACAATTTTATGCATGAAGAATAGGATTTCATATGTTGAATATAATCTATTTCGTAATTAATTTTATGTTTAGTAATTTTAGTGGCTGGTTTAAAAAATATGTTACTGTGTACGAGAGGTATGAAATTCACATTTATTGACTAGAATATGGTATTTTATGCATATATCATGTACGTTTAGTCCTTGTTAAAGCATGAAATTTTGATCACGAAATGTCTGATTTTGTAAATGCCAATTTAAGATTACTTACTAAAAGTTGGAATACAATGATTTTTCAATGGAAGTTAAAGCTTTGTCTTTTATCAAAAAACTGAAAATTCAAGGCATCAAAATCTCCCTGCTGAGGAAATCTGTAAACTTAGATGAAGTATTTTCCTATATTGTTGATTAATTACTTTTTTGAGGATTTTGCAAATCTCTACAACAGTCTCGTGATGCTATTTTTAAAAAAATCCAATGAAATAATTTTCTTGGATTACGCCTATTTATTGCGCTAGTTTCAACCAATCAAGTTATTGCTTACTTTGTAAACCGTGCCCTCTCTTTATGTCGTCACCAGTAGCAGTAGGGAGAAATAGGAATTCGTCTGCCCTTCGGAGGGAAGGTCAATCTATGGTTCTTGGCGTTTTGAATGTAATCATGCGAGTTATGTTTCGTGATACTTTTTGAAAACTTTTAAATTTGTGTGGATATAGTATCATTAATTTTACGGATCCATCTGGTGAAAAAAAAAACTGTTCAGAACCTGTCATAAGCAAGGCAGTATTCCTAAGATCTCTTTGGTATGCTGGCAGGCCAGACCGCCCTCGCCAAGAGGGCATTTCAGGTCGATGTGCTAGAGCGGGTTAACACAGACTGATGTTCGCGGTGACCTGGTCATTTGAGATCACTTGAGGTGAGCTTTCATACCACTCGATTTTATTGCGAAAAAACTTAGGCAATGCCTATGTCTTTTAATTCCACTGATTAGTTGATATATTTTCACGAATTGCAACGATCAATAGAACTCCTATACTGGCGAATAACCACAACAAGTGTAACACGACAGCAGATGATATTGAGCCATTTTAATTCTCAGAAAAAAAAATCCCAAATCGGAACAGAAGCTAAATCCTATTGAAGTTGTTGTAAAGAAACATCCAAGCTGCTAATTTAATTCTTAGTTTAAAATCGATGTTTTTCAGAAGCTGCTCCATATCTTTGCATGAAAAACTGCAGTGTGCATCAAACTCGATTTATAAACAAATTGCGTAATAGTTGAGTTGTGTAAGTTGCCTGTATGCACCGGCGCAGTGTGTATTCCTGCACCAGCGAACGCTTAAACCTGCAGAAACATGCACTACTTATCATACAAAATCGCAGTTGCACAAACGCAGAATAACTATTAATAATCAGGTGTAAAACTTTAAGGGGATTACGTAATTTGAATAGTTAACAAGCGAATGGGGGAAAATACGCGCTATACTGATTTTTGTTAGAAATTGCTAATGCATGCAAATTTCATTTCCGTGCATATTTTGACACTTTCCCGCCTATTCTGTCGCTCTTGAAGTACTGTACATGTGAAAGGACTATTTATTTCGCGGACATTTTTTGATGGTGTATCATTTGCAATTAGTTGAGCCTTTTTATGTATTTTTATGCATTTATTTTCTTGGTGTTTATTAACGAGAAATTTTGGAATTAAATTCACAAGAGGAAAAAGCAAATACAATACTATTCACTAGAAGTGCCAGTGATATGAAAAAAGTTCAAAAAGCCAGTATGCTATTTCAAGGAAAGACCTTCTAGTGCATTGATTCAGGTGTTCCATGTGCAATGCAGGGATATTGTGCCATCTCAATAAAAAAATGTTAAAATACAAGTTTTATTATATTATCATTATGATTTAAACAGAGACAGAATTTCAATTTTACTACTCTTTTCCCTGAGAGAGACTTGCTTAGTTATAAAATGAACATCAACTTTTCATGCATTTTTTTTTAAGATACATTTCTGCATAGTCAATGCAAGACTCAGTAAGCAGACCAATTCCATACATATGTTTATACTATTTGAATTTTAAAAAGAATGGTTTCTTTGATTTCTTTGTAATGGTAATGGTACATCACTTGTAATTCCTTCCAAGAGGTCTTAGAAGTAGTAAGTGTGTAGAAAGGGGACATAACTTTTACAGAAAATATGTTTGAAATCAATTTACTATTTAGCATTGAGTGTCAATCCTTAAAAGTAAAATAATGTAGTTCTCTCCAGTAGAAATATTTCTTCAGCTTTTTTTTTATAGATGTAGTGTTATATGTGTTTTATTATATAGAAATTAAAAAAAAATCTCTTTTTTTGAGGGTGGGGATGGTCTTTTTTGCTGCTGCTGCTGCTGCTGATAATAATTATCAATAATCAGTGTATCTAGTAAAAAGTAATAGTACAAATAGAAAATTCAGTTGTAGCTAACATCCCCTTTATTTCAAGAAAGAGGGGGGGGGGGGGAATCCATTACCCTGTAGTTAAGAAAAACAGGTTTGAAACTACTAATTTGGGTCTCATTAGAATTCTATTGATCAGTGTTGGATAATTGTAAATAATCCTAATAACAGATTCTCCCTTTTTTAGTTATTCATTTTTTTTTAATTATTATTAATTTTTTTTTATATTTGACCAAAAAAAAAAAAAAAAAAAATTAATAAATAATGGTGATCGAAGTATCCAGCAAAAGATATAAGCAAAAACTGAACAATCAGTTTTGATTTTTCCCCTTAATTCAAGAAGGAGAAAAAGCGGAGGGGTAGAGGTTGTGTGTAATCTATCGGTTTATCCAAGTATAAAATGACTTTACATCCCCTATTTTCTCCATTAAAGAATTTTTTGATCAGCATTGGATATGCATGAATACCATATCATACCCTTTTTTTAACTTTGAGGCTAACCTTTGAAGCTTAACCCCCCCTCCCCCCCCCCCCCCCCCCCCCCCCCCCCCGACCCCTGATGTAGAGCAATTGCTTTCTACTGATAATGCTGTCTTCAAAATAGGAGATTTGAAAAGATATGAAAATTATAGTTCTTCAATTAATAAAAATTGAAGTATTGTTGCAGTGACTAGGATTCTTTTATGCAGTTCGGTTAATATTTGTGCAATTTCCTCACAATACAGATTTTTCTACTAGAGAACAAAAACAAATATGTTATCATATGATTGAATAATTCCTAGCTCTCTGATTGTCTAAGATCCAACATTGTAGAAAAAATACTACTTATGTTCACCTGCAGCAACCTTCCAGGTGAACATAAGGATTTTTTTTTTTTTTACATTGGACTAAAAATAGATCAGGAAATTCCAAATTGGTGCAGATAGTTCTGGAAAGTTATTTCACTTGCACCTGACTTCCACTCAGGTGAATATAACATTTTTAAAGGCACATAGAAATGGGGGGTATTGGTGGATGGGGGTACAGGGGGCCTGACCCCTCCCTAACTTTTTTTTTTGAATGTAAATTTTTTTCAATTTAGTGTGAAAATGTTCATTGAAGGCTGGTTGGTTCCCCCCCCCCCCCTCCCCAGGAGAGTTTGGAGTTTCAAAGTACAATATTCAACTCACCCTTCGGACTCAGTGAATATTGTACTCCTTAATGTCATAATCATTGTATTGACCTCAAAAACTGATATAATTGAATAATGTTAGGGATACCGTAAGATTTATTTTGAGACAGAGGTCCTGTAATACAGTGGAATTCATCATTGTTCATGGGGGGGGGGGGGACCAATGTTCATGTATTTCATGGGTTACCCTTACCCACGAATTAACATCCCAAAGAATGATTATGAATTTTGCCTCCTTATATAACTAAGAATGTTTATATCCATATGAGGAATGGTGAAAAGTTTTCTATGGGATTAATAAAAAAAATTCCCTGTATCAGAGATTTCGGCATAAGCAAGTTCTTTAAAACCTTTACTGTGATCCGAAGAAAAAAAATTATTTTCTGTAAAGGATAAGCACAGATAAGACAAGTCTGTAGATTTTAGATTTTCCTCCTTAACCTGATGAGCTTCAAAATAGGAGCACAGAGAGATGTTTATGTTGGTTTTGTTTGATGTCTAGGACTAATGAGGGCAACAAGCACACTGACATGGTTATCAGTCATGCCAGCTTGTCTGAATGAAGAGGGGGAAAAGGCTTCTTGCTACAACCTATTGATGGATCAATACTTCTACCAACAAGGCTGCTGCTAGAGATAGAAAAAAAAAAAGATTCATTACTTCTAATTAGGTCACCCTGACAAAGTAGCAGGAAGGATTCTTACTCCCCACAATGAATAGTTCCTTCTGCTCTGTGTAGATCAATAAGACTCTAGGTCTTGTGTAGTAGTATTAACAAGATGTCAGTATTGTAAAACCAGGATCTGTGGAGAGATTGTCAGGATAAACTCTTCCTTTAACTGCAATTTTGATGTGGATTATACTATAAGTACCTAATACAATAGATACTTAAAATACAATTAAATATGTAATACAAATATTCTGTCAGTTTGACAAAATGTGCATCATCCAGTGAACTGACATGTAATTGTATTATGATGTGTATCTTGCAGGGTGATTATAACCATTTTCAATATACAGACACCATATTTTAGGAGTTGGAAGGATTTTTTTCAAATATGTTACCTGAACATCTACATTATGTTTTATGGTTATATAATATATCTGTTCATATACAGTTGAACTTCAATATCTTGAAGATCAATATCTCAAATACCGTGGATGGTCAAAATGATTTGAAAGTCCCAAGCACTTTTTCTTTAAGTATTTTACCCTCAATATCGCAAACCCTCGGATATCTAAAAGTTTTTTCTCAGTACCATTGACTTCGAGATAACAAGGTTTGACTGTGTGTAAAAAAAACTACATGCCTACTCCATCACTTAAAGTTACATCCCCTTTTCACCATTGTTATTGGTGTAATGATGAATTTGACTGGAATACTTTGTAATGAAGTCAAAGCATGTAAGTAAACATTTTGTTTCCATTTTAAATCCACACAATTTATTTCCATGGCTGCCTACTGCAAAATTCGCTCGTTCTCATGAATGAATCACCGAATTCTAAGTAGCACCAGATTTATCTTGACCAGTGAAAACACTAGTGATGGGAATTGGTAAGAATTTCATAATTGATTATAGGTTTATGTCTTCCTACCCTGGTTACCACCCTTCCTCCTTAGATATTGAAAAGTGAAAGGGGGGAGGGGGTATTTCATGTGATCCCAGTTAAATCTGATCAGGGATGGGTATCGGCAAAAATTTCGTATCATGATATCACGATTTTTCCCCCAAAATATCAGGATAAATCGTGATATTTTTACACACAAATTTTACTACAATTTCAAATGAATTTTCATAATATTTCTTAAAATATGCTATAAAACATAATTTTACTTTTTAATTGTTATTTATTTAATATAAAGCATGTCGTTTAACTGTTTTCAACATTTTTTACACTTCCTGTAATTGTCATTCAGTAGATTGAACAAATAAACGAATGATATCTGGAATTTATATATTTATTGACCAAATACCGGTATTTTAGTCTCCGTATCTCGATACATATCACGCAATAAAAATCACGATTTACCAGTATACCGACAAAATCAATCAAACCTAAACCTGATTGTTAGTTTATATGTGTTTAATCCTTTCTTTGTTCATTAATTTATTTGCACAAGTTTATTTGGTCATTATCAAAGAATTAGTTAATACAGTAAAACAGGCTTATAGTGAACACGCTTATAAGGCTTATAGCAAAGTGATTTTCATTCCCCATGACTTTTCTAAATGTATTGTAAACCTAACAGATATAGTAAATTACGCTTATAGTGAAGCAAAATCACCTTTCCCAGAAACTTCGCTATAACTATATTTTACTGTATTGTGGGCTCAACTATTTATACTTCACACAACTTGATTTTTACTTTATTGAAAAAAAAAATGAAGGGACTGGGAGGGGGATAAAGGTTAGGGATACTAGGAACAGTAATAAGCAGTACTTGAGTTGAAGTGGGGAATAGTTAATATTCAGTTCGTTTAAATTTGCCTCTTGAATTTCTGCAGCTTAGGACATTCAGATGCAGTATATATTTTATTTTGATGTCCTTACAGCATTCACTTAATTTATTCACCAGATCTCCTGATTTCTCTGGCATTCCAGCATGGTCATTGTGACTTGAGATTGATTTCCAGAGAGAAATTGATATATAATTATTATATAATTGACAGCTGCTTTTTCAATAAAAATGGAACTTGTAAATATACTTACCTTGTCATTGGTCATTTGCAAAATTATTTTGTTAAAAAACATTCTGATTGTACACACAAGTACTCTGAAGTTGACATTAAAATCATGCTTGAGTTTCTGATTGACAATATCTATGTGGTTTTTGGAGACCAGGTCTTCCAACAATCTATTGGAATTCCCATGGGTACCAATTGTGCCCCGTTATTAGCAGACCTTTTTTTATATTCATATGAAGCAGAATTTGTCCAAAATCTTGTACGTGAAAAGAAGAAAA